TGGGAGGGGGGCGGGGGGGCCCGGGGTGGGGGGGCGCCTGCCTCAAGAGGCGGGGAACTGCTGTTCCTTTTTGCTTCGGGTAGAGCCAGCATTTGCTTGGCAGATTGGAAACTGAGGCGAAGGTGGAAGGTACCCCGCACGCTGCAGATGCCTGCTGAAGTGGTCTGTGTTTTAAACTCAGAAGTGATCTGAGCAGTTGTAGTTCTGCAAAAATGTTTCTCTCTAGCTTGAGCGCTTTTATATATTTATAATTTTAGTGAAATAAATAGTAGGGAGAGGTCGTCCGATTTTAGTCAAATCGCTGGTCTTTCACCCCTTTCTGTACCAAGAATCCAGTGAAAGCAGCAAGCAAATTTCTTCAAGTTGCACGGAGTGTGGAGGGACAGATTTATTAAGCTATTTGATAACTTGATTGACTTGCCCAGCTAGTGTGATTAAAATATTATCACAAATCATAACTGAAGAGAAATATAAGAAAAGTTTTGATGCTTTGAAAGTTAGGCTCTGAACCAACGTTGCCTGTGTCATTTTGCTTGGCATAGCTCTTTTTTGTTTGTGTATCTGAAAACACAGAATTTGATTGGGTTTTCTGTTCTTTTGCAAAGCTATATATTACTTGCGTAAAGATCAAGTGAGAAACTACTGTTTACTCATACAATTCATGGTCATGCTTGGCTGTAGGTTAGAGACTTCCTGCTTCTACTCTGTGTTTTGGGATTTTGACAGGAGATTTGCATTGGCTACCCATCACTGGCAAAACATGTTGCCCTTATAAATTCATGGTTTGGATATTTAAAGTAAGTCATGTGAGTACTGACTCACAGGAGGGTCAGCTAAGGGGCAAGCAAAGAAATTGCTAATATCGTCTCATCACTGTGTGAACTGCAGAAAACAACTGTGTTTAGAAATGAAAAGAGCTACATTACTATTCAGTCCATTTTCCACTCATCAGGAGTATAGGAAAATTTTAATTAGACTATTAAAATTGGACTAGACCCATGCCTATTTTACTTTGAGGACACACAAAACAAGTGGGAAATGCTGTAAAAAGGTGTTTGAGGGGAGGGAAAAGAGTATCTGTTAGGTATATTGGTATTTTTGCTTTTTTTCACATTTCCATGTATCTTTGGAAGCATTTTTGTGGTGTTCAAAATCTGCTTTATGATAGTTTGAAATTACAGATTAACGTATGCACTGCTGAATTTTATAGGTCATAAAAGGAACAAATAAGCGCAGCATGTTTTTAGTAGATAATTTTGGGTGCTTGGACAGCTATTGCATGAAGTCTTGCACATATTGTTTGTGAAGGT